CCTAAAAAAAAAATTCTATGCCCATAATAATATTGTGTGCTTTACTACTTGCAATGTTTTTGCACCTTGTTATAAAATGTAAATATTGTTAAAGTTTCTATATTGTGGCTGTTGTGAATTGTGTGGTGAATTAGTGTCTTCTGGTGTTGTGCCCTCGCAGTGCTGCAGGGTGAAGAGTTTCAAGTGAATTTTCAGTGAAGTGATTTGCTGATCTCTAAAGATAGTGACTTTATTTTTACAAACTTTGAATTTTGAATTCGAGCATTTGCAAGATGGCTCGTGTTCCAGTTCCGATTGATTTCGGATCGTTCAGTACTGATGAAGTGGAGTACGAGTTGGATATTCGTGGCCTGCGGCATTACGTCCTAAGCCCGGCCGACAAGTGCAAACTTTTATCTGAACAGTGGGGTACCCAGGTGGTTATCGCTAGACTGGAAGAATTTTCTGTTGCCAACGAGATTGCCGCACTGAGGCAAAAGACTGCAGAACTGGAAGTCTTGGTTTTGGAGAACGCCCCTATTCGGCGATTTTCTCGACGTCTCAATGGTCTCCTTGCTCATTGTGTCCACCGAACTCGTCGTTCCATGTTCAGAGGCGAGTTAGAGGAGTTCAAGAAGGTGGCGAAGCGGCTGAATAGAATCCAAGAAGCCTGCATGCAGGCCTATTCTCAGTTCAACTTCCCTGCATTGACAATCGTGGAGGACGACTTGGAGTCACGGTTGGCGGAGCTATCTTTGCACTCCAAGACTTCACACGCCACTGGTGGAGGTCGGGAGTCATCTCGAACCTCTAGCAAGAGTAAGAAGAAGAAGAAGAGGAAACACAAGAAGAAGAGTTCGAGGCGGCGTTCCCTCAGTTCGTCTTCTGAAAGTTCTTCCAGCTCTTCATCCAGTTCTGCTTCTGATCGCTCTGCTACTCGTTCTCGAAACAGCAAAATTCGAGAAGTTGCTCGCTTGCCCTACCACTACAATGGAAAGAGGGAAGAAGATTTACATGAATTCCTGTCGAAGCTGGACAACGCTGCAGAAATGTATGGCTACATCGGGAAGGACCTCGGTGGGATGGGGGCCTTGCTGCAAGGGAGTGCCCTTACGTGGTTCTCGGCGAGGAAGCATGAATTCTCCAGTTGGACTCAAATCCAGAAAGAAATCAAGGAAGCATGCAACCCCGCTGGCAATGATGCTGAAACCTGGGAGAGAATAGATAGCCTTCGGCAAACCTCTGATGAAACCTACGCCGTGTATGAAGCTCGGGCCGAAGAATTGTTTCTCCGCCTTAGTGAGTCTCCTACTGACAAGGACAAGTTGCGGAAGTTACTAGACGGCCTGCATTACTACTACCGTCATGTCTGCTGATTTACTGCTTGGTCTGGATTTCTGGCGGAGATACAACTTGCGTCCTGACTTCATCTCTAACACCTGTGAAGTGGGAAGTGTGGAGGTGTTCTGTACAGTTGCTGTTGATCAAGAACAAGAAGATAATGCCCTCAGTCCCAGTCAACGTGTCGAACTTAACTGCATTCTTGAAGAATTTAGGCCTCTCTTAGACACAGAGAAACTTGGTTGTTTGCGCGGTGTAGAACATCACATAGACACAGGTGACGCTCCACCGTGTAAACAAAAGTACAGCAGTTTGAATCCTAAATTACTTGCCGAAGCCCACCGCGGTCTTGATGAAAGACTTGCCAACGGAACTGTAGAGCCTTCGGAGGCTCCCTACTCTTCTCCTTTACTTCTGCTACCAAAGAAGGACCAAGGATGGAGGTGGGTGGTCGACTTCCGTGAGTTGAACAAAAGTATTAACAGGCCCAGCGCCCATCCACTTCCTCACATCAATCCAGTGCTTTGGAATGTGCGTGGAGGTACGATTTTCTCAAGCATTGATGTCAAGGATGCTTATCTGCAGATACCGTTAGACAAGGAGTCTCGTGCGAAGACTGCGCGTGGACTGGGCGTGGACTTTTTCACTACACGCGTCTCCTTGCTAGGTTGCAGGACGCTGCTGCGCGCTGGCAATCAGAGATTGAGAAGGTTCTTGGTCATGAGCCTAATGTGCTCGTGTATATGGACGATATCCTCATATGGTCCCCTAACCTGGATTGGGATCACCATAAGAGGCTTATAAGAAGGGTGTTGCAGAAGTTAGCCGATGCTGGACTAACCATCAAGATGAGTAAATGCAAGTTTGGGCGTAAACAAACCCTGTACCTAGGACATGTCATCGATGAGTTCGGTATTCGCCCTGATCCCGCCAAGATTTCTGCTGTAGTAAACTTCCCTACTCCTAGAAGACAGAAGAATGTTCGTCAATTTCTTGGGTTGGCGGGATGGGTGCGGAAGTTCATCAATGGTTTCAGTGTTGCTGCCAAACCTCTCACCGACCTGCTCAAGAAAGGTCAACCTTTTCATTGGTCCAGGCAAGCTCATGAGGCTTTCACCTTCCTGAAAGAAAAGCTTGTTTCTTCTCCCATTCTTCGTGCCCCTGACTTTTCAAAAACTTTCAAGATTTATACTGATGGCTGTGCTCTTGGAACTGGCGGAATTTTGTGTCAAGATTTCGACGACGGCGAGCACGCAGGTGAAGAACTTTGTAAAGTCCGACAAGGCGAAGGGATTTTCGAAGAAGTTAGACAAGAAGTACAAGGCTCCATTTACAATTGTAAGAAGAGAGGGGGATGTGTCGTACTTGTTGAAGACTAGTGATGGCACAGAATGTGGACCTGTACACGCTGATCGGCTCCAACCTTACCATCAGTGAAAAAATTCTTCCTGCAAGCAGAAATCATTTTTTTTGTGAAGAAAGAGTTGGCTGTCACGGGTGCAGCGGCCCCGTGTGCTTTTCCGCCTGTGCGATAGGCAACCTCTCTGACACGGCCCGCCGCCGAGCGCCGCCGCCGACCCCCTCCGCCAGCAGACGACGCCGGAGACAGCCGGCGCTGACCCAAGCGAAGACTCCCCACCCCGCCTCCCCTCGCCCAGCCAGCGAGCGAGCCGACCAGCGCCGCAAGCCTCAGTCTGCGTGGAATCACCAGCCAGTGTGTGTCGCTCAGAGTTAGTTCTGCAGTTTCAGTGATTTGCCTTCGCCGTTCATCATGTGTGTGCAACCAAGTTCAGCCCGAAAGGTGTGTGTGAGTGGTGTCAATAAAAAAGGTCTGTGATTGCTAGCATGTCGCTACGACCTAATTTATCACAGGGCCGTCAGTCCGGGACGCCGAGTTCCGCCATGAGTGGCTAGGCGCCACCCTTTTCGCCCTGCAGCCATGAGGGCGCAACGCTTGAAGACTGCCACCACCACACCCACACCATGAGGTCCAGAACCCCTGTTTTCGCCTTGTGACGTCAGCAACTTTTGTCGTCATGTGAAGATGTATGTGTGATGGCCGGAGCACTTTTGTTGAACCACCTGCGCATCCTTTCCACTCTGAGCTAGTCCGTGACACCTACTTGTGGTTTTGGTCAGTACAGATAGTGTACTAGTAATTTACTGAGAGGAAAAGAGGCTGAGACATCCCGTTACTCCAAGGGAATGGTGGTAAAGGAACAGAATACCACCATCTGATGCCTAATCCTTTTAGTGAACATACTGTATTCTTGTAGAGAGTCATCACTTATGTAGTATGAGTTATTGGGCATCGCATTGATTGTTTCTTACTCACATGCGTGTTGCATATCCCAAGTGTTGAAATTTTGCGCTTCATGTAATGCGCATTAACTAAACACTTGGATGATCCCTTTTAAAAAAGATTTACCCCAAGAAGTTGCCGAAATCAGCCCGAAAGAGCCCCGGAGGCCACGGGCAGCCCCGCACTTTGTCCGCAGCCATGCCGGACTGTCCCAAATTCAGTCCGTCGCGTCTCCGGGTCACCCCGTGATCAGCCCGGCCCTGAGTGTCGGGGAAATCGAAATCTGCCCGGGTACTTTTCATTGGGTTCATGCCAAATACCCTTTGCCCTACCCCTCAGCAGTCTGATCTGCTGTACATACTAAAGGTTACCTAGCCGGTGGGATCAGTCTGATTCATTACATTACCAAACAATAAGTTATCCTAATCCTGATGTGCCCTGGCTGGAGGCCGCGTCGCGACTGTCCGCTAGGCCGAGCCGAGGCGTCCAGCCGTGCCGAGCGCAGGGAATGCGCTGACCCTTGCAGTTTGGGTCTGCCTGTCAATCGGCCTCTCTAGGGCTATAACACACCCAGCCATTCTCTCAAGGCCAGAGGCAGGAAAGCCCGGGGCTGGCCAGGCGCGAGTAACGCGGCTCCACAATTTCTCATACACTGCCTGACAGCCGAGATCGGCTCGCGGTCCCGCCTCGGTTCGGACATTCGGCTAGGTCCAGCAGCGGCAGCAGCGGCTAGGTGCAGAGTCGGAACGAGGGCTCTGTTCGTATTTAGGTTATCTCACTAAGTTAAGGGGGCATCCTAGTGTAGCGAGCCTAAAATAGGGGTGATTTGCGTATTTAATTTTAGAGAACCCATAGTTTTTAGAACAAAACCGCGTATACCGTTTTGTAGCGCATACTTTTGACTTTAAAACGCAATGTGTATGACGTCGATACGCCTACCCAAAGTTGAGATGTCCCCTGTTAAAAACGGCACTGCAGCGTTGTCGTCTTTTCATGGTGTACCGGATTACGGCCACACCGTTGGGCCGTTGAGGTTCCGATTTTTTGTGGATGTTCCTAACACTTGTAGGTATGGCATGAACTAGGATATCTGGGATCGGTCACCTCCTTCATCCCGAAAAAAAATCAAAACTATGAGAGTTTTAGCTTTTTTTCGATATGTCAACTTTAAGCTGCTCGAAAAAATAGTAAAAATTATCCGATCGCAAATATCCTAGTTCATGCCATAACTACGTTCATACAGAGTCTAAAAATTCTTTGTTGGACTGTGTGAGACCAACGGCTCGACTTTAAATAGGTACACCATGACAAGACGACA